GTCTAGCTCCGTCCCTGGTTCAAGGCAGCTTTATAATCAGTGCAGTTTTAAGTGAAGGTATCTGACTTCTCCTTATTAGACAGACTGTGACTTWAAATTATTGACCTTCAGCTTCAAGCTTCATGTCTTTACATCAAAACAACTTCCTGTGAAATATAGCTGTGAGTAGTTAAGCAGGGCTCAGTTACCACAGCAATTCAATCATGTCAGAAACATGGCTGTCACCAATATTAGTTTTTTTTAAACTCACTTACCAACACACTCTCTTTCCTCTTTTGAACGCTGTTTGAAAGTAAGAGAAGATGCTGTTTTGTTTAATTAATTTTYCCTTATAAAAGTTGTGCAAATCAAACTGTCTGAAGATAAATGTTTGCAGAGTACAGAGTCCAAATGAGATGCTTGAGGTGTTAACAGATGATGAGAAGCAGCAGTCTGCACGGTGATCCTTACAATCCAGCTCTGTCTCCTCTAATGGTTCTGTTCCTGCTGCTGATCATACATGAAGCTTTATTAAAGCTGAACATGACAAATCCCCTCCGATGATTTTGTCTAGTTATAAATGATATATAGATAATCACCACCATTTTTTTTTTTTTTATGGGGAGGGATATTTTTGGCTCTGTGAATTTATGAAATATAAATGTCTGGTAATGAAGTACTTCTCCGCAGAACCCCAGGAGACATGCGGCTGTCGGACTGAGCAGTGGAAATGAATTGTCCGTCCTCAGGTGCACAGACTCTCAGACATGAATCAGTGTGACRTGAATTCCTAGAAATTCAGCGGCGGCTGATCTTATTGCCTCTGCAGAGTGCCCGGTGGGCTTGTTGGGCGGGGGTCCTTGTGAACAACATGATGCCCGTACTGGTGCCTCAGCATGATGCTCAGCAGCTTSAGGTAACGACCGTGACGAGACACGCCTGCTGTTGCTCGCTGCTTCACAACCTGCTGCCTGTTGTTTCCAACTCTGCTCCCTCCTGCCATGATCTCCCAGCTGAGACTGGACAAACTTTCTCCTTTGAGGACCTCTGATTTGACACCTGACAATGGATTTATTTGGAGCCTAATGTTATAATATTAGATACTTGCAGCAAATTAAATCATGATCTTTTGGATCAAATACCTGTATGCAATAATGTAGGGATTATTGGGCCTCATGCAAGAACCGTTCGTACGCACAGATTTGTTCTTAAGTTGTGCGTACGAGTGATTTAGGAGAATTTGTGGCATTCACCAATGTTTTCGTATTCTAAGATTTTTTTCAGATACGAACAAAATTCACGAGTGGTCCAGACCTGTCGTATATTTTACGAGCAGTCAGTCTTGTATGCTGAAACACAGAACGTTCACATGAAAATACTAAAGTACAGTGACAAATGTTGAATACTAAAACAACTGTAGCAAGCTGTAAACTACTTTCAAAATAGTCAACGTTATTTTATATAAAACATTTTGTGAACATGGTACTACTATTACCGTATCATCAATTAAAAAAACATTTTTTGTCTTGAGCTTTGTGGAGGTGAAGCTTTTGATCAGGCACTTCTTGTAACTTTCAATTGATCTCAAAAGACATAAAAGTAGCTTAGGATTGGAGCAGTTCTGTCAATTGTACAAAAGTGCTACAATGAACCGTCAGAAAATTTCATATACTTTTATTGCCCTAGCTTAAGAGACAGTCTGCAGCTGAAGGCCAGACTCTGTGAAAAAAAAAAAAACAAAGCCAAAAAACACCTGATTTTAGATTTTATTAAATGTGTCGTATTTGCTTCAGTGTTTAACCTTAACAGGACTGATTTGTTCATGAAAAGGGAATGGAAAAACTCAAAGTTTGTGTTGAGCCTGAGAACCATTGCAACTTGTTTAGCATCACTCGACTCACCGATCCAAAGACAGAAACACTCTCAGGTGACGAAAAGACATCGCGCCTTCCTCAGTGACTCTGTGAACGTGTTTGGAGTTTCCACTACTAAACAATCCCCACAGAAAGACTTCTTGGCAAGACAAACGTGAACACACACACAAGTAATGAGCCGGAGGCACAGAGGCTCATCCTTTACATTGTTTATAGACTCCCATCAGAGGTGTGAGGTCATTTCATCGGTGGCTGTTTTTTGGTCGAGTCTTCAAGGAGCTGAGCAGACTGTTGTTGCGTCTGCCAGAAACTCCTCTGGCTGCTGCAGATACCCAGCTCTGTTTAGTTCAGGGATAAATYGGTGCTGCCAGGACCTGTTAGGCTCATTGCAAACTTCTGAACGGCAGCAGAGCTCATGGTTTTCATTTGGAAATAACCTCTATGCTCATCCTGTCTGATGGGTTTAAGGTGTGAGAAGATATTTGTATAAACTCGGGCAGGTGTTTGAGCCATAATAGCTTCTGTCAAAACATGATGGTTTGTTGGCCACTTCATTTCAAAATCAGTGAGATTGTAGCTGAAGATTCACATTTTCTCACAATATTGAGACACCAACTAGTCTCAAAGAAATATTCCTTTTACAGCCTTATTTTTACTCTTTTATACCAAAATATTTTCCCTTTCGGTGTTTTTCATACTCTGACATTCACACTCTAAATAAAGTTGCACAACCTTTGTATCAATGTATCGATATGTATTTTGCTCATAGTCTTTCTGTTTTACTGGATTCCCCCAACAATGTGTGATTAAGTGTTTTGTGACGTCAGAAACTATTGAATTTTCAGATGGATGTGAGGAAGGAGATGAATGTAGGAGGAGGTGATGGATCTGATGTTGGGGCGGCAGCTCGATGTGGCGCTGGGGCTGTTGGCATTTTGTTGTGATGTTACTTACGTCAGGTGAGCTGATCCCTTCGATAAAAAGGAACGGAAGGAGGGAAAGGGAGATTAATGGATGCCAATAGAGATGAGGTAGAATGGTAAATGGATGACTGGAGTGGGAGGTGATAGGCAGCCTGGGATGATTTGGTTTATTAGATTTGTAGCTTTAATAYACCTGTTAGGTTTTCTTTGCATAAATTATCCCAGCATTTTAGATAATGTATGATGTGTTTAAACACTTATGTCCACTGCCTCAAAGWACAACTTTAAAGTGTAAAATACAAATAAAGAGATATAAAAGATTTGAGTCGTTTGGCCTCAAATAACGACAAAATATCTTTAAAAACATGTATATAATAAAATAACCATTGTGTGAAATATATCACCAAYGTTTAAAACAAAGATTTTACATGATTTGTTTGTGATCCTCATTTTAGCCCCATATCTATAAATTGTAGCCATTCATGTGTTTGAACCTAGTAAGCTGTGGCGGCCATCTTTGAGTTGACCCCAGAAGTTAATCAGGTGTAGAGGTACATCCTAGATGAGTTTTATTCATATCATCCAGTTGGTGATGGTGTATTTTGCTAACAGACCAACAACTCACCAAACGTCCTCGTATTTGATTTATTATTATTATTATTATTTATTATTTATTTATTTCAGGAGTCTGAGTTAGACGTTTAGAAATAACAGATTTGAGTTTCAGAAAATGAGGAGGTGTGAAATTAGAATTTGTTGATATTTGAAATTTTAAAAATGTTTGTGGCCTTGTTCAGTCAGCCTAACGGGGTAAATCAGCAGGTGCTGATGTTGTGTTTGTGTTCATCTTGTTACAACGTCCCCTGTGGGCCCGTCCCAGGACAGAGTCAGGGCTTTCCCTGTCCCTTCACAGACAACTTTTCATTTCCCCAAAGGTTTGCAGGGTTGTCATGACTGATTGCTGCACATCGTCCTCCACTGCAGAGAGGCGATGATGTTGTTTTCAGCATGAACTTCAAATAACACGTTCCTGTTWCGGGACGTTTCTTAATCGTTTTGTTTGCTCAAAGATGAAGAACAAATCCCATAAACACATTCAGCTGAGTGATTTGAGCTTGGATGAGTATGACTAAGTGCACAGCAGCTAAAGAGATGTTATTTATCCAGCTGGAAAATAACGGTTGGGATGGCGTTTTTACATTCAGCCCRGGCTTCAGGTAACAAAGACGGAAGCTCATTTATGGGTAAACACACAGCAGCAGTTCAAACACAGACGGGCTGCTATTGTGGTGGATTCTATTCGGCCTCCATGTTCAAGTTGAACCCTCAGGCATTGTAGAGATTGTTGGAGCTTTATTCAAATATTTCTGAAAAAACTAAGCAAGTGTTATTATGTAAGACTTTTTCAATGCCTGGAACACTTGAACCAAAAAATGTGATCAAAGGACCTTTTTTTTTTTTTACCTCCGCCAAGGGCGAGGTAATGTTTTCAGTCGCATGTGTCTGTCCGTCCGTCTGTCTGTCCGCCTGTCCGTCTGTCTGTCCGTCTGTCCTGTCACTCTGTCGTTCTGTCACTCTGTCGTTCTGACTTTGGACAACGTTACTCAAAAACTTGTGGACGGCTTGTCATGACATTTCTACCACATGTGGGTACTCGCTCAAGTAACACACCTTTAAATTTTGGTGATGTTTCGGATACGATGCGGATACAGGAATTTTTTTCCTTTTAGCACACTGAGATCGGCAAAGCTGTGATGCTTTCACAGGGCGTGGGTTTCAAAGTGTCCAGCAGGTGGCACTGTRGTAATGGTGTGCCCCTTCGTAACTCTATTACAGGATAGGGGAAGTTGGTCTTGGCGGAGGTTTGCACTCTCTGAGTGCTTCTAGTTYCTTTATTGTTTTCTTTATTTAAAAAAAATGTCTGCATCTGCCCCATGTTGGTGCCCCAGTGTGTGTGTTTGTTTGCATGTATTGCCATTGTTGTGCAGACATATTTGAACATTAGACAACCCATGTGTGGACATTTTGCTTGGTCCTCACCGGGGAAAAACAATTTTTTGCTTTAGGTTCAGGGTAAAGGGTCAGAGTTAGGTTGAATTTGCCTGTGTGTCGAGGCAGATGGCGGCCTGTCCTGATCCTGGTTCTGCTGGAGCTTTCTTCCTGTTAAGGGAGAGTTTTTCCTCTCCGCTGCTGCTGGTGTGCTGCTCAGGATGGGAGACTGTGATGAAGCAAAGGTTCAGCGCAGTCTGCTGGCTTCTTTAGATTTATTGTTTGTTGTGTTTGGTACCCTGAGACAACAATTGTTGTGATTTGGCTCTATATAAATGAACTGAACCGAATTGACCTGATGCATCTCAGTAATCCAGGTAAAAAATCAAAAGGAAAAAAATTGTATAGGTCCTCTGGACGAGTTCTTCTTTAATGAAACGTTTCGTCTCTCTTC